AGCTTCACATTTTCTTTTTAACAATGGCAAAATACAGACAATTAAATATTTAACATCGGAATGATCCTTCCATCATTCAAATTAAGTTACTTGTGACATACATAAAAAAGTGGTATACGTTTTCCGATAATTATACAGGTACGAAAACATAATTTAAGTTTATCTGATTAATATGCATACAGTTATTTATTAATCATGTATATTAGGAATTGCAACTCTTGTATGTATAGTTGAAAAATGCGATATTAAGGAAATCCTAAAGCTGTCTGTATTATCGATTAAATCTCAATTTTTGTATAATAATTATTTTTTTAATAAAATAATGGTCTATAATTAAACAAATTAAGGTTATTAATATTATATCGTAAATTTATTATACGATGAAATATATAGTACTGACATATAAAATTGAACGTTTTGGAACACACAGGTTCTTCTTCAGCAATGATATGAAAAAAATGATCGATCTCAAATGATTTACATTACATATATAATTCATTGCAATGGAACATTTCAAATGGTAAACAAAGCTATATATGTCCTTAAGCCTTAAACTCCTATTTTTTAATGTGAGTGCAAATCGATGATATCATTTTGAATAATGTTCGTCGATATTCAATATCGGAAAGAAAATCTGAATTGAAATCCCGGTTATTATCTATATATATAGTATAATATAAAAGTATTATACAATAATAAACGTCATGTGATAAAAATGTAATCAAAAAGTAATTAAAGTAAAGTGAGATTTATATAAATAGAGTCAATTAGAATTATGTTATATTTAATATTAAATTAATTATTAAAACAAGATTATTTTGAACAATAAAGATTAAACAATATTAAGAATCTTTATTTTAGACCGCATATGTGAGAAATATAATCATGCTAGAAAAATGCCTATTATGGTCAAAGGTGAATCTTCATTCGTTTAAATAATTCAAATTATAGAAATAAAAACCTTAATGATCTAGCTGGATCTTAAATGCTTATATGATTCTTGTGTTTATATACTACGTATGTAGTCCCTAGAAACGCGTGCCGAATTTTTTATTTTTATTTGCATCTTCGAAACGATTTTAATAATGTTGAATAATATGTCAAAATTTGTAAATAATCTATTCTTATTGTGAAAAATATTATCTCGGCCGAGAGTCGAACCCGAATTTCTTGCATTCCGTGCGAGCCTTTAGACTATCAAAGCCTTAGTAATATGTTTCGCAATAATTAATATATAAAGGAACAACGTCTCTTTAGGCGACATAAATAAACATTATTATGTATTATTATCAAATCGACGTTTTAACAACTAACGTTTTTCACATTGACACCCAGTGCAGATTTATATGCTTCTTATTAATTATATTATTTTAATTATTGATTTAAAAAAAAATTGACAATTATTTGTTACAGTTATTTGTTAATAGCGTGAAGTAGATTTTTTGAATTTTTTATCGAATAATTCAAAAACAAAGATGATGCCAAATATTTTAAGCTCAGATTCAAAAGCACTCACGGAGAAAGATTTACAAAATAAGGAATCTTCAATTACTACAAAGGCGATAGATAAAAATAACAAGCAAAACAGAAGCGAGAGTTATACCAAAAGTGAAGGCTGGTTCAAGACAGAGCTGAAATGGATGAACATTGTAACTATTAGTCTTCTACACTTATGCTTCGTATATGCCTGTTTTACTTTTAACTTTTTCGAAAATCTGATGACGACTGCTTGGAGTAAGTATACTTTGGAAAATTCTTTCATTAATTTGATTCCTTGATATTATAAAAAAATATAAAAAAATATAAAAACATAATAAAAAAGTAAAATTTAGATCATCAACGAATTAATCATTAAAATTGTAATGCTTACAAAAAATGTCACAGTTTTTTTAACAGATTTAAAGACAATTGATTAGACTCACGCGATTGAAGAGAGCACGCAATAGAAGCTTAACAATAAACTAGTAAACTGCTATTAAAAATTTCTCATTTCTATTATACCATATTGATTATGTCATAAATCATCTTGAATTGTCAAATTAGTAAAATCCATGCTACTTAAAAAATACGGATTATTATTCACAATTTTAAAGTACTTCTAGTGTTCTAATCGCGTTCAATCTTTTTTGTTTTAAGTATATGGCATGATTATAATAGCAGGCTTTGGCGTTACCGGCGGTGTTCATCGTTTATGGACCCATAAAGCTTATAAGGCTAAATGGCAGCTTAGAATCATACTTGTCGTTTTGTATGCTTCAGCAGGCATGGTAGATGAACGTTTATAATTACGTTTTATGCGTTGCAAGATGGAAGAACTTTTTCTTTACAATTATATTATTTTAGAATGACATTTTTGAATGGGTGCGAGATCATCGGGTGCACCACAAATATACTGATACAGATGCAGATCCGCATAACAGTAACCGAGGATTCTTTTTCTCTCATGTGGGTTGGTTGATGATGAAGAAACATCCGGATGTGATTCGAAGGGGTTGTGAGATCGACATGAGCGACGTATTGGCTGATCCTATTGCTGTATTTGCTATCAAGTAAGTGCAGGAAGTTATATAAGTTATACGAAATAGTTTTATATTAAAAAAGATGAAAGAACATAAAAATTTTTTAGATTTTATAACATTTCATCAGAAATTATACTTACAAAAAATCTTAGAAATCTTACAATATTTTGTAATTAACATACATGGAAAATTCTGAGAAAAGATGTAGATTTTTTGAGAAGTGTTCCAGTTCGTATAAAAGATTTGAAAAAGTTATAAAATTATATAGAAATTCTGAAAAATTATGTAAAAAATTCTGAGAGAAATTTTCATCAAGGTCTTTTAGAAAATCTTTTATAAAAATTTTTTTACGTAAGATATAAACTGTGATAAAAAATACACCGTAATTAATTAATGTTGTCTTTTAGATATTCTCCGATATTAAAATTTATATTCACTTTCCTGCTTCCGATAATGTTTCCTGTATATGCATGGAATGAGACTTGGTTTAGAGCTTTCGTATCGCAGATTTTTATTCGTTACATTTTGGTTTTAAATTTTACATGGAGCGTCAATAGTGTGGCTCATATCTGGGGCTCAAGGCCATATGATGCGTAAGTAAATAATTAATATCAAAATTATTATATTCACATATAATAAATTTGATCCAAAAAAATCTAAAGCTTTTGTCATTTTGTATCGCCCAAGAATAATTTTGTTTCATTTATTTTAACGACAGGCATATAAATCCAACAGAAAACCTATTCGTTAACTATGCTACGGTCGGTGAAGGATATCACAATTATCATCATGTTTTCCCGTGGGACTACAAAGCTTCCGAGTTTAACAATTTTGTAACTACAAATCTCATTAAGTTCTTTTCGAAAATTGGGTGGGCGTATGATCTCAAAGAACCGTCGAAGGAACTCGTAAAAACCGTCATGAGGAAAAGAGGTGATGGAAGTCATTCTTTGTGGGAAGCTGTGCCATATCCAGCTAGTAAAATTGAATAATAAAAATAACAGTTGTCTCATGGTAGCGAGTTTTTTGGATCAGTTAACAACAAATGTACGCGATCAAGAAAATTTACTTATTTAAGATAATTTATATTAAGATAATAATATTGTTATAATAATATAATATAATAATAATTATATAATAATATAATAATAATGTTAAAATATTAACTTGTTTTTTAAACTCCCCAAGCACATGTTG